AAAGTTAAACTTTTACAATTTCATTTTTATACTCATTTTATTTCCACTCTAAAGCAATGTTTTGTAAATAATAACAATTGTGTATTTTAATCAATTAAAATAATTTTTAGTGGAATTTAGATTTTGAACTGTACTGTAATCTTATGATTAAGATATAATTTTAGAATAGTGTGTTTTGGAAAACACAAATGCTACTTTTTAAAGACAAAATATGATAAATTGCAACAATATTTTTTCTTTTAAAGCTTTTTTTTAAATTATTACAATAAAAATTTATATATACAATCATACATATACTGCACTTTAATTTAAATCCATTTCAATATAGGTCTAGATATATCAATTATGATACAAATATTAAGCCTGTAATTGGATAAGTGGAAATTATGGTTTACAATAAACTTATAATTATTGATGTAAATTATAGCAGCAGACCTAAAGGGAAGGTTATGAAAGAATGATTATGCCCTTAGAAATTTTCATGTATAAAAATTTACATCCTAAAATACAACTTCTATATATCTTACTGGAATTATATAATTTTAATCTAACTAAAATCAAATTATAGTTATAATGAATTCTTTTAAATCAACTAGTAATATTTCATTTCATTATATAATTCAATAGTTTATATCATCATATTTTTAGCTAAATTTGTTATAGTATATACTAAATCATTGCTTTTATAATTTTATTGGTTCCTGGAAAACTGCTATTAAGCAATCTATTCTGTTTTGTAACAAACATAGCATCATAAGCTATGATTAATTTAAAATTCTTGGAAATACAGTCTTAATATCATATTATACCAGTAGTTGTGACAGAAAATTTATATCAGTTGTAAAAATGAAAGTTTAAAACAAATGAAATAAAACTTGGGCCTACTACAATCCAGAAATTTTTAATTAAAAAAAATAATTATATGATATGTAATATACATGTAACTTTTCATTATATTATATAGTATTAAAAACTCTTCTAAACAATTTATAATGGAAAGTTAATAACAACAGCAACAGTTAATAAAAATTGTTAATGAGCATTTTCCAAATTGTGATTAAACAACCTATACAAACTATGGTCACTATAAGAGAAAAGAACTATCTAATATTCTCTCTAAATAATAAAACACTTCTTAAATTATCAAAGAATTTTGTTTAGAATTCTTAACATTTTTTTAATCAGAAAATTTGACAAAAACAAAGCAACTTATTTTAAAAATTAGTGAATGAGATATTTATAATAAATAACTTGAGTTTTTATAACAAAATTTAATAAGTGTTTAAAAGTATTTTAACAAAACGTCATTAAAACTAGATCTGAAATTGATACTTATTAATTAAATCACTGTATGGTGCATTATGTATTGCATTTCAACATTTACCATGCAGCATCATTTCACAGCAGAGTTGAATAAGCATGCAAATTTAAAATTCAAGAATGTTTTGCTTTAAAAAAAATCTACATTTGATAACAACAATAATAAAAAAAAAGTCAGTACTATTAATTTTTGTTCTTTTTCTTGTTATTGTAAAAAGCACACTATTCAAAAATTCATGATCAAATTTTGTTAGAAAATAGCCAAATTTTCTTCAATCTTACAATCAAGCACTTTTTTGTTAATTTAGTTATGTTAAAGCATTAAATTGTTATTCAATATCAATAAGTAATATTAATTCTACATCATTATTCTCTTAGATAACAATTCTAACAAAAATTGCAGACAAAACTTAAATGACAACAATTCCTTGCACCTACAAAACTCAAATCTAAAAGAAATGACAAAATTAACCTCTGATCTGTGCTTATACGCATTAGCCTGCACATCAAAAATGCACCTGAAAATTGCTTTTTGTCACACAACTCCAACTTGCTTTTAATACAGTTAGTATAACTGCATTTTATTAGATTTTTTGAAAAACGTAATAAAATGCAGTTATACTAAGTCGATATGTAATACACCATATTCCTGCAGAATACAAACAAATCTTACTTCATATGCAAATTGAATATAGTAAACAAATAACACATCATTCCCCTCAACAGTACATCTAACGTGAAATGCCAAACCAATAGATTAATTTGCATACTATCAGATAACAGTGTATTATTTGCAAAATAAAGTTTTTCTTAAAAATTCTTAGTTATATTTTGATTTTTACACACTTTAAATACCTCATTTGAAAGAATAATGTAATCAGCTTCTATTGTTTTTATAGGCAACATGACAGCTCACAACCTGATAAGAGTGATGTGCAATATTGTAATGTGACACATAGTAAGACACCAACCGAATGCCGTAAATCAATCGGGCCCGATTGATTTACGGCATTCGGTTGGTGTCTTACTATATTGGATATCGGGTTTGGATATGTTTATTTATAAATGTGACACATAATGTGCCATGCAGTAATTTAATAAATAAGTGGCAAATATAATTTTGAATTTCAATGAAAATTATTGAAATGGAATTTGTGGGTTTGCCGACTAGGGGGAATCATTAATGCCACGTCAGGACCCTTTGCATGTAGGTGGTGGTGGTCTTGGAGGAAAAAATGACAAGTATAAAACCCGTTTATTGAGAATTAAGAATTTGCTTACATCAGTCAAGTGAACAGGTTGTTCCTAATGTTTTGTCAATTGTAGTAAAGTTCGTACTAGTGCCTTTCACTTAATTGAGAGAGGTTGTAAAGCCAGTTGATGAGATAGTTACGGTGACAAAGTGACGCAAGCTAGTGGAAGTCTTAAATCTGTTATTCACAGGATGGTGAGTGAAAAAGTTAGAGTTGAGACAATCCCAATTATATGACAACACAGACTGTTTAGTCGTTCCACACAATTGGGAAAAAAACTCGCTCATTGCTGAGCCTAGCCATGCCAACCAGGGTTTTTATAACTTTTGTTTTCGATTGTCTATCCAGACTGGCTGTTTTCCCTCTTTCTCACTCTCCAAGCGGCTGTTTGCTCATTACCAAGCATAACAAGATGCCAACTTGAATTGCAGGAGAGGTCAAACTTGGAGGAGAATTTGATCTCCCAACCGGAGATGGTCAATCTTAGGACTATGAGTACATTCTGTCTATTGTTTATGACGTCATGTTGCATCTCTAAAACAAAATTTTTTCCTTTAACTTCTATTTTTTTCCCTCTCTCTTTTACAAAAATAATTTCAATGCAAATTCTAGTGGTGGTTCTGGCCTGTCCAGTACCTCACAAATTGCCATAATTGTATTTTTAAAATACTTTTGTTTCTTTCTCACAGAATAATGCCAATTAATGTATTATTTATCTTTCAAATCAACAGAAACAATTTACAAAATCTCAGGCCTAGCTTCAATAACACCAAAAGATTAATTAAGATATTTTGTAGCTATCATTATGAAAGTAATTTTGAATCATTCGATCAATTAATTGTTGAAATAAAACATATATTTCTGTCAGATTATTTTTTTTTTAAATGAACTCTGTTAACATCTGTAAATTAATGACAACACCACGAAAAATCCATCAAATAAATGTAAAATTTAACAGAAAAACAAACCTTGTCATTAATTTACAGTAGTTTATCCAGTTTTGTGGTGATTTTATTTCCGTTAACATCTTATATATAATAAATAATTCTGACAGTGTTCTCTATCTTAAATACCATAAATATTTTATTATTTAAAATATATAAGTACTGTACCATAACAATATACAAGTAAATTTTTCTTATTTTTGTTACCTTATGAATTTTATTAAACTGATCTCATTTATCAATTTAAATAAAATATAGTTCAATTCTTATCATTCAAGCAAACAAATATAATATACAATTTAAAGTATCTCATGAAACATTCTTAGCTACAAGTTAATTTAACCAGCATCTACATATTGAAAATTTCATTCAGGTGCATGTTATATTGGCTTTATGAAAATATCCCTTCTTTTAGTAATATAAAATACAGTAATAAACAACTTGAATAATATACTTTTCACATATTATGAATTTAATAAAATTTTTTCAGTAATTATTTATATTTAAAAACTGAACAATTATAAAATATTTCAAAATACAGTTTATATATATATATATATATGATACATTTTTAAATATTACTCATAAAAATTACCCCGGATTCATTATATAAATAAGATAAAGAACGTACGGTATACGGTAGTGATGTATTTATCTTATTTTAATCTAAACTACTTAATTTGATATTGGGTTCATATGATATATCTTGATAACGATGAACTAAATTTAACAATGAATTGAAGAAGTTTTAGAGAAAGAAACATTTAAAAAGCTATAGTTTAAAAGAATGTGTAGAAGTTCATTTTAGGTATCAATAAAGTTGTTGATTGGTGATAATGGCATTTGTGGACGTGATAATACAATAATCCCTAGAAAATTATGATCATACATATATTGATATTGAAGATACAGAATCGAAGCGTAGTACAGATCTGCATTTCTCAACCGATGGTCCACAGATCTCCACAAGGGTCTGCGGGTTCATCACGGCACGGGGGTTATAGATGTCTGCAACACGAGAAACATCGAGAATCACCAGTATATGTTATAGATTAATTTTAGATAATTTATGTATGTATATAAATTACCTAAAAGTAACTTCTATCAAAAAATGATATATGCAGAGGGAAATTAATGCAGTATTAAATTTTATACTGAAATTTTCCTTAAATTACTGTAATGTTAAAAATCATTATTGATAAAACTACACAGTTTTATTTCTAATTGCCATTAAGTAGTTAATTAAAAAATAAAACGTCGGGTTACTTTTCTACATCACAATTAACGTAGAAATCCGGTAATTAAAATACACGCGGGAAAGAAAAAAAAAAACTTCAGCAAAAATCACGTTTCTTAAAACCGGAACCGGAAGCTGATAATCTCACGGTTACGCCCAATTTAATTACAATAGCTTTTTTTTACGATAAAATATTAATGATTTTATATGCATTAGGATAACAAAGATTATAGATTTATAACTCACCCGACACTATAAGAGCTTCGTTTGGTCCCACAGTATGAATGTTGCCCATTTCTAAATATATCTCTTCAAATCTTCCTATTTTATAACTACCGTACTCTTTTAATTCCGTAACGAAATTGCAAACTTGCTAGGAAATAATCTACTTATACCTCATTATTTAATAATTACGAAATAATTTCGCAATCGTTAGAAACATCACACATTTCTGCAGAACGGCAAAAATTCTCAGCGTAGTTACACAAGCCACCGACAGAGGACGATTCGATCCATACACTCCTATTTACTCTTCACCGAAGTATGGTTAAGGTTTGTTACGCGAAGTTTTATTGGATCATTTTTCCATGTATTGCGTTTCGTGACCAATGAAATAACTTTTGAAATTTCATTAGCTCACTTATTTTTTTTTTTATCCTCAGTCAGTTGCAGTAAAAATTTTGGTAAGGGAAATTAGTCATACAGTCTCCTGTCAGACTTGATGTGTTTGATAATTAAATTTAGTTGAAAAGTCAATCATTTATAATAATCAGAGGGAATATAGAGTGATAAAAAGGTATATAAGCTTTCAATTTATAATAATAATGCTTATTTTTCTTTCTGTGTAGTGATTTAATGTGTTTTAGATTATATACTTGTTACTTATATATGATCTTTTTTAAGGTCTAAGAATTGACCAATTATTCTTATAACATCTTTAATTACCATTAAAGTTACTTATTAACAAATTTTATAAGTTTTAATATGTATAAGTGTCTTAATTATATGAATTAAATAGAAACAAATATATTTTTCTTTCTTTTAAATCTCAAAATATATACACTTAAGTAGATCAAGCAAACTTAATTCATTTAATTAATGAGTCTGTTCCTATTTGTGATATTATCTGATAAAAATACTCATTTAGATACGTTAAATGTAATTACTAGTACTTTAATAATGTTTATTGTTTTTAATGATCGAAAAAATTATTCAATTTAATGCATATATATTAATCATCATCATCATCATCATCATCATCATCATCATCATCATCATAAACTTTACAAGAATAGAATAAGAAGTATAACTGCTTGCCAAGAAAATGTGACAAAAAAGTAAAACTTCTGTTTTGCTTCATTGTTTTATTGCCAAGTAACATGTTTACATGTTACAGTAGATTACATTAGATATTTAAGATTTAAGTGTGTTCATAAAACATATGCATTACAGTGAAATATGCTTTTTTTTTCAAGTTAGTTGTGATAAATTTATTTTATATGTTTTTGAAAATGTTGGAATTATATTGTATAGAAGTTTATATATATATATACTCTGTGATTGTAATTAAAGTCTCCATATTTAAGTCTGAAGAGATATTTAGCAATCAAAATGTAATCAAATCTTGTATGATGACATTTTAGGACATGCAGAAGACATTTCTGTAAAAACTATGGCAATTTTTGCACTGTAAGCATTGAGAAAACAGTTTCTTTTGTATAAGCACATGTTGCAGCTGACAGTTCAGAGTATGAAAGTGGTTACAGTTGTTGAATGTCATTTTATCAGCTACAATGGCCATCACTTTGTCACGTTTCTTTATGTTTTGAATGTGTTTCTTGTAAAGCTATTTTATGAAAGCAACAGCAATGCTGTAGTTGCATTTCAGGAATTTCACTATTGTAAGATTTTATATTAAGAACTGTTGACTCTTCAGTTCTGTTCTCAGGAGAATGATTACTCAATTCAATGAAACTGGTGTCTGGAAGTTCAACCTAGTTGAAGGTGTAAATCTATTGCTTCATAAGTCAAATGTGTTACCACACCTACTATTAATCAGTCAAGGAGTGATGTTGCAGGTTTTAGTGTATATACAGTGTCACAGTAGTTGTACCTATGATACAGTGTGAAAGGCACTGGCAAAGTTTGTGCATTGTTTCTGTATAAAGTCAGTCACAACCAAAACATCAAGCAATTACTCTGCTAGCAGGGAATGCAACTGACCTTTGTATTGATCTTTCTTGCCAGAATGGAAATGGATGTGTTGTGATCATGGAAGAACCTGTGGTGTAACAAGGCACATTTTTATCTCAGTGGAACAGTACAGCCATAACTGTCAATTTGAGTTGTGGAAAACATCGTGTTTTTCAGCAGATTCTATTACATTTGCTTAAAGTTACCCTTGTGTAGATTCACAGCCACATTTATCCTTCAAAGCAGCTAGTCACAATAGGCCCATGTCATGATCTGTGATGGCTCCGAAATATTAACAGATGCTCCACACTTTTGCCATACAACTGCACAGTAACAATGCCTTCAGTAACCACTTTCTTGCAAGATGGAATGCCTTCACATACCAGACACTGCATGCAGCAGTTTCTTTAACAAAATTTCATTGATAACAGAGTGATTACTTGTGTGATTCTTACTGCCTGCTATCCTGTTCTGCAGATCTTAATCTATGTAATTTTTGACTCTGAGGACACTTAAAAAGTATGATTTATTGAGGACGTCAGGATTGTACCAATAAATGATGCAAAACAGAAAAAAAACTTCCTCAGGTCAAAGAATGTAGAGGATGCTGAGAGGAGCAACCAAACTTCAATTTTGTGCATTACGTAAGAACTAATTGTTATAACACCAAAACTAAATGCAATAACAGGTTATTTATAGTTTTAACAAAAGTAAGGACTGAATTTGAGGATTTTTATTTGGTAAAAAGGGTATTACAAAGATGATTCAGTATTTATGGTATGTGGCATTGGTTAGCATTACTGGAAAAAATACAGTAAAATTGTAAACATCCAAACATAAAAACTAAACTATGAAATATATGTTTAGGACAAATGAATAACTAACAGAAAATCTGCAGTAATATTTCATTATTTTTGTACAAACAATTTAAACAAGGATACAGAAGTGTCCTATGCCACAATAGCATAGTATGATGTTGCAAAATGTCAAAGGGTTTAAATTAATGAAGGTCAAAGAATTTTTAAATTATATTTCTAATTTCCATACTACCTAGCATGCAACAATCTGCTTTCACTTCTGAACAGACAGTCTATTTCTAGTTTCAACTATAGGTATGTAGGAATAAGCATCAAAAAAATGTTGAACATAGCCAATTAGAATCAAAGTTTCATCTATGGCATATTTTTTAATATTTTTAAAATAGCATGTCAGTATGAAGGTGCAGACAGACTGTCAAGAGCTTATATGGGACCCAGGAATGTAGAGGGTCCTTTTTGCCATTTTATTTTTTATTAGTAAAAATAACATTAATTTATAAGCATAGGAACCAGTAAGGACCCAAAATTTTCCCAAAACTTACTGTACACTAGCATTCAAAATAAAACAATTTATAAACCAATTAATAATAATTATTATTATTATGTGGTTTGAAAAATTCAAATTAAATTATACAAATAATTAAATAGGCCTACCATATAATTTGCTTCATAACACTAAATTAATAAATTTACATAATTTTTAAATTAAAAAGAACAATTTACTTTAAGCATGTGCACATACAGCAGAGTCCTGCTAGTCCAAACTAATTGGGACTGAGCCCTGTTCAGATTAGCAGATTTTCGGATTAGCCAAATAATTGAAATAATCCAGAAGTAAGCAGTAAAACAGTTCTGGTTTATATAGATCCAACATCATCATCATCGCCCCCCACTCTTTATTTCATCTGTTGTACTCACTGGAGGGTGCAAACAGTTAACAAAAACAAGTTTTGTAATTTTGAAATGGCAACCTGCCTTCATTGTTTACCTTAAAATTATTTTAACTGTAAAAAAAAGTTTTTAATACACAGTCCAGGATTTCAATCAGATGAGTGTTGGTACTGTGTTAGTTAGCATGATTAATTGTGGATGTTGTATGTACTGTTCCCTTTGCTCTACATTATTTTAGTTTAATTTAGTCTGCTGCTACAATGGCCATGAAACAGAATCACACAACATGTACATTGAAAGATAAGCTGGACATTTTGAAAAGGCTAGACATGGGTAAAAGTGCAAGGAAATTGGCAGTAGAGTTTGGAGTGGGCAATGCCACAATAACCAACTGGGAAAAAAAACCATTCAAAGATTGAGCAGTTTTGTGCCTCTACTTCAGAAAAATCAGTTGAAAATCGACAAACAGCAAGGCCCTCAACGGTTGACAAGCTTGGTGAAGCCTTATTCATATGGTTCACTCAGAAAGGGGAATACCCTAAGTGGACCTCTTGTTAGAGAAAATTTCCTCTCCTCCAACCGAAACATGTTCAGACTAGCGGGGCTCTACTGTAGTTATAAACTTAATGTAATAAGTTGATTAATTAATGGAAATAAAATTGAAGTAATCACCAATACTGTGAAAAACCTTATTTTTAGTATAGGTTCTAATTAATGGACTTCTTGATATCCAAAAAGAAAATTTCTTTATGACAATGACCATTGTTAAGTTTTTCTGAAGAATTATTTAAGAAATATACCAATTTTTTACAAAAAGATGAACATTATTAAGAGTTTTTGACTGACTTTTTCTTTATTTTTATTTATTTATTTACTAATCCAAACTCGCCATAACTAATCAGGCTATTATTAAGCCATAATTAATAATTAGAAATTAAATAATTTGGTACTAGAGATAGATGTTAGGTGCCATCTCTTATCTAAATTAATAATTGTAATAATTTATTAAATAATTTAGAACATTTNAATTCAATTCAAAAGCTTTGCTTTTCCTATTGCTATTCATCTTTACTTCTGACAATATACAATAACAATTCAAATGACCCAGATAAAATACTTTTGTTTTTAAATACAAGAGGGTAAAAAATCTGGTATCTAGTAAAAAAGTGTGAATACACGGTTCACAAAAATTATTTGCAAAAACGCAAAGAATTTTTCACTCACACATATAAGACTATCTAGGAATTTGAAGCTGTGATAAATGAATAAAAACCTTGTCTTATATGCAAGTAAATATGGTAATAAGTATTGATTCATCAATGATGAGTAGTATAACTATATGTCAAATAAAAAGTCTTTAAATAATTTTCAAATGAAAAATATGGATGAATATAAAATAAATGAGAGAAATATTGTGTGTTCTGCCTTTATGTATATTAAAAAGATTATGAAAACTCTAATTTGGAAACTTAAAATAATTTATCATACACATAAGTGATTTTCATAAGTGTTTTACTTGTGACTTCTTCACCTTGTGTCAATTCACTTGTTATTGATATTACTGTTTTCTTATCTTGATAACACAATACAAATTAAGATATTGACTATTAAACAGTTTATTTGATATTAGTGTGACATTGCCAGAATTTATAAGAGAGAAATTTAAAACATGGAAACTTACTAATTTTACAAAAATACTGTTCAAAAAGAAAAATATCAGAGTCCTTAGATGTAACAACTTGACTTTAATAGCAAAATAAAAATATTTTTTTACAATATAACATGGAAATGTAAAAATGTTTTCCTGACATCAGAAATTAGATTGTCAGTGTTAATCAATCTTTGTTTACATATTTCATGTTGTAAGAACCAAGTTGCTTTTATGATAGTTCTT